AACTATGATTTTCATTGAGTATACCTTCTCCGTTAGCATATCCCTAAAAAAAGAGATCAAGGGGAAGGGGGTTAAGGTCTGGTGAGCTAACCCAGTGATATACTTTATATATATATATATATATATATATATATATATATATATATATATATAGCAGTCAGACATCACTAACCTGATCAATCACTGTTTTTTTTGTAGAAATGATATTTCTACATGGCAAATAATTTACTAGCAGGTGTAGTAGAGTAATAGTAATCCAACAGACCTAACAGTCATGACATGCATGCTGCTGATTCTGTGTAATTGAATCACTAATTGAAAGGGGCATGTTCAAAATAATAGCAGTGTGGAGTTCTATTAGTGAGGTCATTCATTCTTTGAAAAACAGGTGGCAATTATTGCCCTTATTTAAGGAAGGAAGGCAGCAAATGTTATACATGCTGGTTACAGTGCATTTCTCTCTGAAATTCTGAGGAAAATGGGTCCTTCCAGACATTGCTCAGAACAGCGTACCTTGATTAAAAAGTTGATTGGAGAGGGGAAAACATATAAAGAAGTGCAGAAAATGATAGGCTGCTCAGCTAAAATGATCGTAAAATGGCAACCAAAACTTGAAAGACATGGAAGAAAGCAAAAAACTACCATTCAAATGGATAGAAGAATAGCCAAAATGGCGTGGACTCAGCCAACAATCAGCTCCAGGAAGATCAAAGAAGGTCTAAAGTTACCTGTGAGTACTGTTACAATTAGAAGACGCCTATGTGAAGCCAAGCTATCTGCAAGAAGCCCCCGCAAAGTCCCACTGTTGAAAAAAAGACATGTGCTGAAGAGGTTACAAGTTGCCAAAGAGCACATTGACTGGCCTAAAGAGAAATGGCGCAACATTTTGTGGACTGATGAAAGTAAGATTGTTCTTTTTGGGTCTAGTGGCTGGAGACAGTTTGTCAGAAACACTGAATTCAAGCCACAGTACACTGTGAAGACAGTGAAGCATGGTTGCGCAAGCATCATGATATGGGGATGTTTCTCATACTACGGTGTTGGGCCTATTTATCGCATATCAGGGATCATGGATCAGTTTGAATACATCAGAATACTTGAAGAGGTCATGCTGCCTTATGCTGAAAAGGAAATGCCCTTGAAATGGGTGTTCCAACAAGACAACGACCCCAAACACACCAGTAAATGTGCAACATCTTGGTTCCAGACCAACAAGATTGACGTTAAGATCTATTGGATCTTAATCCAATAGAAAACTTGTGGGGTGACATTAAAAATGCAGTTTCTGAGGCAAAACCAAGAAATAGAGAAGAACTGTGGAATGTAGTCCAATCATCCTGGGCTGGAATACCTGTTCACAGGGGCCAGAAGTTGGTTGACTCCATGCAACACAGATGTACAGCAGTTCTCAGAAACAGTGCTTATACAACTAAATATTAATTAAGTGATTCAAAGGAAAGCAAAATCTTCAAACATTTTTCAGTTTATATAGTGAATGTTTGAGTTTGTAAAGAAGAATACAAACACTGCTATTTTTTGAACAGTCTAATATTCACTTTTCTTAAATTTTTTTTAGAGGAACAACACAAATTTGATATATTTTTCTTCATGTTTTGATTTGGAATAGAATGTGTAGTGTTCCCAATGCATTTGTGTGTATGGAACTAAAAGCTATTAGAAGGATTTTGAGCTTTATTCACTTTTTTCAACACACTGCTATTATTTTGAACACAACTGTATATATATATATATATATATATATATATATATATATAGTGATATTTCCTGTGTTTTCAGACTTTAAGGACACCTTGTATTTCATACAAATGTTATGCTAAAAATGCGTATTGCTCTACTAGCCATTTAATCTGTTTAGGACCTGTTTAGCTCTACCATACAGGCTAATAACCTTGAAATGCACATTGGGTAGGTTTCTCACTAAGACCAACAAATGGTTAGATTAATGCCCATCCTTGAACCCAGTATGACCAGCTGCAGTCCCCTGTGCAATATCCATAATAATATATTGTGGTGTAAGTACTTTTAACAGTACAATAGGTGTTTGCACTTACAGATATTTTTTGGCACGTTGGAAAAGCTCTCTGTGTAATAATGAGCACTTTTTAGCACTCTCTAGGAAAGCTCTACACACAACAGTTTTTACCTAAACGTTTCAAGAGTGGCCCAGATAATGTTATGTACAGTATAGCCATTACAACATAAAAGTGGATCATGACCAAGGATTACTGTAGTGGTCACACCACCATTTATAAAAACATATTTAATTATAATAGTATTTTGAAAAAAACTAACTCCCATTATTCTGACAGGACTTTAAAGTATGCTAATATGTATTATGGTAAATTAGATTTATGAGAATATGCTCTTAAGGGTTTCCTTAAGAGGTCTTTCCTCTTTAACATTAAAGTGTTACTAAACACATAACAGTAAAATCAGTCTGTGTATGCAGTAAAGCATGCTTGTTATACTCACTGTGGAACCTAATGGGTTAATCCTCTACATGTGTAAAAAGGCCATTTGATCTTGATTGCTCTGTTCCTCACCTTGTTTAACCACCTCTTAACTCCTGATAAGACAGACTGAACTGTAGGCATTTTGCACATGCTCAGTTTGGTGTGTATCGCTAGAGAGGTTTTTTTTTTTTCATGTGATCAGCACAGGGCCAATCAGCACTGATCAGACAGAGGTCAGGGGTTTTGCATTTTCCTAAAGAAAACTCATCCTACAAGCTTTAGCTAGTGCTTGGCTGAACACTGATAGAAGCCACAAGACTGCTCTAACCTCTGATGAGAAAAGGTATTTAGCAATATATGTTTACTATAATAAATGCATTTCCATGCTCTGTGTACTGTGGGAGACCATATATAGTGCATGCAGGGTCCTGGGTTAAGTAACACTTTAACTGTTCTTTTTCCTCTTCATACTCCAGTTGGAACAGACATTGCAGTGCTGTACATTTTCGCATTAGCAGCTGTAGGTGACTGGATTGTGCCCATACTGTGAGCTTCTACTAATAGTATTTTTGTTCATGCAATAAACATGAAAGTTTGCTTTTGACCAAGAAAGCAATGTCAAATGTAAAGAAACAAACATTTTGTTTATTAAGCAAATGTAAAAACTGTGTAACAAAGTGCAGCAGCTTTTAAATTCAAAATTCCAGTAGCAGCTTATATATACAACATATAAATTGTTGATAGAAAGCAGCAATGCTCTCCGAGAACAGATAAAAGAATTAGTAAAACATCAGCTTCCTGAGAATGCTTAGCTGAAAAAAATACATGAACATTTTCTACAAATATGGTACCAGGGAACAATAATGAGGGCTTTTTTTATCTTGCAAATTTCAGAGGAAGAGGGCTTACCTACAGAAAAGTATTTGCAACATTTCTGACAAGAGAGATTCAAATGTCTATAAACAACTTTATTGAGGAAGGCATCAAGGGCTATGCCAAAGAAAAAGTAGAATTCCTGCACAGTTAGGGGTCACAAAGAAATATAAAATGAATAGTCCTGTCCTCTAACTTTACTCCCCAAACTAAATGATAATTTGGTCTTCTACAAAAACTTTATAACACTAAAGTCTCACATTTGGTGCTAATTCCATGTCAAGGGTATATAAATGAATTTAATGTCTCAATGTGCCAAGTTGCATAACCCTAATCTTTTTCAGATGTGGTTTCATTTTAAAGCAAAAAATAATAGTGATTCTTGTGATCAATAGTGATCACAGTGTGAAGCATTAGTGATTCCTGTGATCTCATAGTCAGTATGCATGTCCATACTTGAATGACATCTTCATTACAGGTAGAGATTTTCTAAATCCAAGGAAGTCCAATAATATCAATCCATTTTAACAGAGGTCTCAGATTTAAAAACAATTAAGCAATATGAACATCACCATCTCCTGACCAATAAACAAGATAGTGGAATACTTTGAAAGGTATATTCCTAAGTTTTCATATCTGTGGCACCATTAACAGAGGAATAAAAAATTTAAATAAAATGTGTCCTCTAGAAACAAAAAACCTTTTTTTTTTATATCAGGGAGCTATCGATATACATACTACAAATGGGGGGAATCAACATTTTTGTTTGTTTGATTTATTGTCCAACAAGGACTTTGAATGTTTGTCTAGTCACTGAATTGATGAACTCTAAGATATCCCCATGGAAGAGGAGGTCCTTTTATATACCGTATTTTCCGGAGTATAAGGCGACTGGGTGTATAAGACGACCCTCTAATCTTCCAGTTAAAACATAGGTTTTGGGCTATACTCGCCGTATAAGACTACCCCCCTTCTGAGGCAACACCATTTAAAAACATCAGATTTTTTTATTGAAATGGTTATGACTTACCTGTACTTAAAATCCTTCAAAATCCTCATGTTCATCCTCTGACATCATAAGTTCATGAATGACATCTTGTGATACATTTTTAAGACAGTCATCATATGGATCAAATTCCAAATCAGATGGTTACCGCTGGATGTGCGGTAATACGGTAGCTTCGGCTACATACAGTATACAGTATATATACAGCCCGCTGGATGTGCAGTAATGTACATATAGTATACCGTTCTGAGCCAAGCTGGCTCAAAACAAATGTCCCTATGACAGATTAATCTGTCAGCCCGCTGGATGTGTGGTATATACAGTATACTGAGAATATACCACTGTGGTATATACAGTATACTTAGCCAAGCTGTTTCAAAACGTACCGGTACGTCCCTACAGTAATCAGCCCGCTGGATGTGTGTATGCACGGTAGCTGCGGATACATACAGTATACACTGGGCCAATCACGGCGAGTGATGTATTATACTAATGAATACAAAGTCTGCTCAGATTGGCTGAGGTTGTGACATCATCAGCCCACCTCTCTGACTCAGCCAATCCGAGCAGACTTTGTATTCATTAGTAGAATACATCACTCGCCGTGATTGGCCTAGTGCGGGTGTCGGCAACCCGCGGCTCCAGAGCCGCATGCGGCTCTTTTTCACCTTTGCTGCGGCTCCGAAGCACACTGCCCACCAGGTGACAGGCAATAGGGTTGCCGTAGCTCAGTGGTCGGCAAGCCGCGGGTCTTTACACATTTTAATGCGGCTCTTCTGTGTGCCGGGGTGCCCGTTCCCCTCCCTCCTCTTGGGCGGCCGCCCCAAAAGTCAGGACTCTGCAGCTAGCCCAGCAATGGCCAAACTACGGCCCGGCGGACCTTTTAATCCGGCCCGCGGAGCGTGGCAAACATTGGCTGTCAGGATGTAGGCGGGGCAGCGTGACGAACTCCTCTCCTCTCACAGTCCGCCCTGAAGACCGGAACGGCGCGGGAACACGGCGAGAGGAACGCGCGGAGCAAAGGTAAGTGAATTGACACAATATGGGGAATGAATTACTATGGGGGGATGAATTACTATAGGGGGGATGAATTACTATGGGGGATGAATTACTATATGGGGGATGAATTACTATGGGGAATGAATTACTATATGGGGGATGAATTACTATGGGGGATGAATTACTATATGGGGGATGAATTACTATGGGGGATGAATTACTATATGGGGGATTAATTACTATGGGGGATGAATTACTATGTGGGGGATGAATTACTATGGGGGATGAATTACTATGGGGGGTGAATTACTATATGGGGGATGAATTACTATATGGGGGACGAATTACTATATGGGGGATGAATTACTATGGGGGATGAATTACTATATGGGGGATGAATTACTATGGGGGATGAATTACTATGGGGGATGAATTACTATATGGGGGATGAATTACTATGGGGGATGAATTACTATATGGGGGATGAATTACTATATGGGGGATGAATTACTATATGGGGGATGTATTTTCAGTTTTAAAAATGTGGCTCTCAAAATAAATTTCAATGGTGGTTTTGGCGAGATTTGGCTCAGTTGAAAAAAAAGGTTGCCCACCAGGCTATGATTGTGATTATAACGACACACTGTGGCCCTGATTGACCCTTTGCTTACTGGGCCCTTAAACCCCCTTCATGACCAGAGCGCTTTTGCAATATATGCAGTGTCGGATTTGTTTTAAATTTTGCAATGGTTTTGCGGCTCCCAGTCTTTTTTTCCCTTCAGAAACGGGTCCAAGTGGCTCTTTATGTCTTAAAGGTTGCAGACCCCTGGCCTAGTGTATACTGTATGTAGCAGCAGCTACCGTACATACACGCATCCAGCGGGCTGATTACAGTAGGGACATACCGGTACTTTTTGAAACCGCTTGGCTCAGAGCAGTATACTGTATATACCGCACATCCAGCGGGCTGACAGATTAATCTGTCATAGGGACATTTGTTTTGAGCCAGCTTGGCTCAGCACGGTATACTGTATGTACAGTATTACCACACATCCAGCCAGCTTGACCCAAACAAACTCAAGGTTCACATTTTATACCCCGCGTATAAGACAATCCCCAATTTTTGGGCTATATTTTTAAGTATAAAAAGTAGTCTTATACGCCAGAAAATACTGTAATATAGTTTCCTATTTCTTAGCATTGTATATATAAATATTTGGGTCATTTTCATGTATGTGCCCCTCATTGGGAGGTGATGCTTTACATTTTTCCTGCAGCTGATTTTGTTAAGATTTTTTAATTAGTGGCCAATTATGGTTTTATTTAATTTTGGGACAGTTAGCTTTTGTATAGTATAGGTTTTCAATAAAGATTTTCTATTTTGCTATTTGTGTGTGTTGAGCCATTCACTGGGGTTTTTACCCTCTTCAAGGATACACAATAACACTTGTACATTGAGATTGAGCATAAGTTTATTTTTTATGTTTTTCTTTTTCTCCACGATTAACAGTGACAGTAAAAAGTCAGCAGTAGTAATTTTCAAAAATGAAAGATACCTTCAACTCTTATTGCCTCCGTTATTTCAGAATAATTTGTGGGTTTAAACAATTAATTCTAGCATGGATAGTAGCATGCCTGTAAAAAGTAATGAATGGTTTAAGATTCCCCAATGGACTACTTACTATGAAACTGGCATCCAATGGGAAGATTTTTTTCACTCTGGAATTAGATGTTTAGACTTCAAGGATACTCTAGATTCCCTGACACATGAGGGAGATGTTTTACATTTATATTGGACCTTTACTTGGATGAGACAAAATAAAGATGATGATTTAAGTGTCACAACTGGTTGCTTTGCTTGCAATGTTTCACTAAAAATGTAGATTACAGGTCTGGAAGGAAACACATGCATTAGGATGCACTGTTAATTGTAGATCATTTGGTTGATGGTTGTTCATTTCTGCAGCTTAGTGAGAGGTAAAATTTGTAAGTGGTCAGTTCAGAAAAACTTAGAGGGAAAATTTGTTAAGATATGTTAAGGTTTTATTGTGTTTTCTAAAATGTTACCTGAAAGTTTTTAAGTAATCAGATGGGTGGAAAAAAAAGGCTTTGCAGAAGATCAGTAACTATGGTAGAGATCAGCAGTGAGAGACAAACATTGTTACAAAAGCTGCATGTATTGAGTGAGCTGTAAACTAAAGAGAAAAGACGTTGTACTTTTGTACTTTAAGGGATTCTATTAACTATAAAAGCTGAAAGAACAAGCTCACTATTTTAAAGGCTAACCACACATAACCAGTACTTCAGTCATTTTTTTTTTAAATTTACAGTTAGGCTTGCCAATCATTTGTTTATTCTACAAAGTGGAGAATCCATCAGGAGAGAAAAATATATTTGACTTTTAATGACACAATAGTTGAATGGAGCTGGGAATTCAGATATATCAGCACTGGAGTTCCACAAAAACATCATCTAAACCTATTATTTTAAAATCTTTTGGCGAGTCTCTGTCTTGGTGGGCCTAAATCAAAGGCATATTTTGTGCTATTACTAAGTAGCCCTACTCCTTCTGCTTTGCATTAGGAATGGCCTTGATCTTGTGGTATTGTGACTTATGACTTGCTGCACTCCAACACTGGCCTTCATCTGTTCTCATCTCTTAGAAACATAAACTTGTTCGGCTTTCGCACCCTTGACAATTTAATTTCGTAAATTTAAATAATAATGTGATGAAAATTTAAAGATATAAAATTAATTGGAAGAGAAAATGTCAACCTTGCTCTGACTACAGACACGAAGACCATTTTTTTCCTTAAAATACTTGTAACTATTCTATATGTGTTCTCCAATGTGTTAAGATACATCTGTGCATATTTGGCGCTATTCACATCTTTAAAAATATAAATTAGAAATTAATAATTGTGGGTTATTCTGGTAACTCATTAATTTAAAAATCTATGAGTATGCACCTATGAAAACATGAAATGTGTGTTGTGGTCTAAGCTATGGCTACTCACACTCTACAATTCAATTAGTATATACTTTGGCTGGATTACTCATCTGCCCAGTAAACAGCATCGTGGCAGTTTGCTATTTTTAGGTATGGTAGCAGTTTGCTATTTTCCTACAAAACAGTATGTTTTATTTACTTTACAGTTCCTCTGCATGCAAAGAATAGACAATTCAAAAAACAGGCACAAGTATTTATATTATATATACCACTTGAGCCCCAAACCATTTCTGGCACTTTTTGTTTACATTTTAAAATCAGTATTTTTTTGCTAGAAAATGTCTTAGAACCCCCCAAACATTATACATTTTTTAAAGCAGAGAATAAATTGGTGGTTTTTTGCATTTTTTTTATGTCACACGGTACTTAAAACACAATTTTTGGGAATAAATAAGCTTTTTTGAATTTTATTACAAAAAAACACAATATATAACCAAATTTTCTTACAAAATATAAAAGATGATGTTACGCCAAGTACACAGATACCATGTCACGCTTTAAAATTGCGCGTGCTCATGCAATGGCGACAAACAACATAAGTTTTAATATTGATAGGCAACGCTTTAAAGCCTTTACAGATTACCACTTTAGATTTCCAGAGGAGGTCTAGTGCTAAAATTACTGCCCATGATCTGATGATCGTGCCGATACCTGATATGTATGGGGCGATTGCTGTTTGTATGCGTGAGGGACCGATGCATGCTCACGAGTACGACGGGAAGGGGGGACTTAATTTTTTTTTTAATTATTATTTTTTACATTTTTACACTGTCACTTTCTTTATTTATTTAATCACTGCTATTGCTGTTACAAGGAATGTAAACATCCCCTGTGACAGCAATAGACACGTGACAGGTATTTTTATGGAGGGATCTGGGATCATTGAGACCCCAAATCCCTCCTCTGCACTTGAAAGCATTCAAAACATCAAGATCAGTGTTTTTGAATGCTTTCAGATTTAAAAAAAAAAGTGCAAACGTTTCCGAGTAAACCAAAAGTGATGTCAAGTCATGGCTTTTGGTTTACAATAAAGGAGAGGTGATAAAAGTCAAATCTCTCTGATGGGATGGGTGATCTTGAGAGAACAGGGCAAGGTGGTGGGAAGGGGGGATATCCCCAAGGGGGGTTATCCCCTCCCGCTGCTTGTACAAGCAATCGAGCAGCTAGTAGCTACTCCGATTGCTTGTACAGGAGAGCTGACCGCCGGCCCTAAAAAATGCTACCAGGTTGATGCCTGCAGCTGCAGGCATCATTCAGGTACAACCACAGAAAATCCAGTGACGTTCAGGTATGTCGCTGGTCTAGAAGTGGTTAAAATTAGAGTGTATTGAGCTGCTTTGAGCAATTTGTGGCTTCTGGTGTCTTGTTATGCCTTTAGGGAGAATGGAGCTACATCCAGGCCTGCCTGTTGTGAGTTATATGTACCAAATTGGGAGCTAAAATTATATAGAGTTATTGGCCACACTTTGCAGAGGTTCCTTAACATGGCAGTGTGGCTTCACATATATTATACAGTTGCAAGAAAAAGTATGTGAACCCTTTGGGGTTATGTAGAATTTTGCATGAATTGGGCATAAAATGTGCTCTGAACGTCATCCAAGTCACAGCAATAGAAGAACACAGTCTGCTGAACATAATACTACACAAACATTAGATGTTGCCATGGTTTAATTGCACATAACATGTAAACATTCACAGTGCAGGGAGGAAAAAGTATGTGAACCTTTGGACTTAATAACTGGTTGACCCTCCTTTGGCAGCAATAACCTCAACCAAACGTTTCCTGTAGTTGCAGATCAGACCTGCACAACGATCTGGAGTCATTTTGGACCACTCCTCTTCACAAAACTGTTTCAGTGTAGCAATATTCTTGGGATGTCTGGTGTGAATCGCTCTCTTAAGGTCATGCCACAGCTTTTCAAATGGTTTGAGGCCAGGACTCTGACTGGGTCACTCCAGAAGGTGTAGTCCGTGCTGTTGCAGCCATTGTTTTGTTGAA